GACTGACAGAAGGACCAGCTGTGCATTCCAGTGTATCTCAGCAAAAGAAGGCAGTCAAGGACTGACCAAAATAGCAGCATTACAGTTCTGCTTTGTTTTAAAATGAGTGAGAGGCACAGCAAAAGTAAGGCACTTTATACATGAATTGAAAAGCACTTTGGGGAGAAAGTAGTAGCAGCTGGGAAGGAAAGAGGGGGTTGAGATCTCGCTGCAAGTGATGTAAGAATAAAGAAGCAGAACATACTTCAGGAGAATGAAAAAGTAATGTGTGCTTCACTATTTCTGTGCTGTTAGAAGCTTCAAAAACCAAAGTAATCTGATTTGGTCTTAATTTGTTAATAAGTTATAGACATTCCACCTTAACCCTGCAAAAGAAGCATTTGGGAACAGTCAGGCCGCAATCCTAGGGATAGACAGATAGTATGTACTTCACAGGATTGCAGCTGAGGGTCCATGCAGAAGGTCTGTGCCGTTCATGAACAGCTTTGATGAGCATCCCTGGTTACAGCAGAGCTGAGGATCACAAACGTCCCCTCGCCGCTGTGCTACCCTGCTCAGCGTAAAGGAGAAATTCAGGCACTGCCTGAGGAATGAAGGTGTTTAACACTGAAGAGGCATGGCATCTTCCCCCAGATGAGATGGTTCACACACTCCAGTGTACTTGTGTTGTAAAAAGTATGCTTTCCCACATCGCAGAAAATACAAGTTAGAGGGACACCTTCTTTAGTAGGACTTGGAGAGGAATCATCTTTAATCATTATTGACTTAGATTGTCACATTCACTTTTCATTCTTAGTGTATTTCAAAAGGATCTCTTAATCCTGTTTTACCTACATAATTTCAGTTTCCTTATGCCCTCACATCCTTATCTTTATGTAGATTAGAGTGCAATATTATTACAAAGCAAAAAGTTTTTATGCATTTTTCTGCAGAGAATAGCTTCTCTTGAACTGTTTGTTATATTGCTTGCTATCATTAAATTCCCTAAATTATGATCTCTTATTTCCTCTAGATTAAAATAAATAAAGTTTAATAAAAAATGAAGAGCTAGTCATAGTTAAATACCATCAAAATAAGTGAATAAATAGGATTTTGCTTGCAACTGTACAATATATGTGGCTTGAAAGAATCAGGGGAAGAGCTTCTGTTAGTCACATTGGTTTTGTTTGGGATTTCACTTTTTTCATTGTTTATCAAAATACTTTGGGGTGGTTTTCTGTTTGAGCTGCAGGGAATTTAGTGTTATTTTTATGCAGTCTGAGTCATTCATCCATTTGGGAAATGGACTCCGAGTACACATGTTGAACTGTTTTGGAAATCTGATGTCTGAAATCATACATGTAAAAGAAAAATATTATGACAGTAAAAGGCTATCTAGGAATGGCAGTAATTAACACATCCAAATTAAGGACAGTGCAAATGAGCATCCATTCAGCAATAAATTCTAAACCAAGATTTTTGCTGTATGTGAAGGCATATGGTGGAAAACTGCACTTTTGATGTAGTATATACTGTTGAGGAGAGATGAGGGTTTTGTCCTCACAGGACACATGAAGCTCTTTAAACACGTTCTCTAAGATGAAACACTTCTCTTTTGTTTTGTTTTATTTTATTTATGTAAATATGAATGTAAATGTTTATGTAAACAGGTCATCTCTCTATTTCATATTTATTCCATGCTGCCTTGTTGGAATGAAAACTTAGAAGTGAAACAAATCTCGCCTGTCCCCTGCAGGCTTGAGAATAGATCAATTATTTTGCTTCTGGCTTAGATTCCTTTTAAATCTGTGACAGAGCAACTGAAAAATTCAGGATAAATCACTTGCTGTTGATAGTCAACTTCAGAGTGAAAGAATTTTTGACATGAAAATTAAAGGAATTATTTTTCAGCATTTGGCTTCTGGAACTGATATTCTTGATTCTCCTTCTTGTATGTAACACACCCAGTGCAGAGTCGTAGCTTGCTGAATTTTGGGGTAATAGTTTGGTACTATATGGTTTCCCCTGTTTGCATTGAAGTTTGGGGTTTTTATGGTTTGGGCATTTTCTGCTTTGGCTTTTTGTTGGATGTTTTTGAATTAGCATATTTGTAGTTTTATCTTTGGTGTTGTTTTGCCCTGTAACATCTGTGGAACATTAACTTTTGCTTTCTGGTTAGAGGAGAGGAGGGAAAACTGAAAGGCAGCAGTCTTTTTTTAGATTTACTTTTTTGAGCAGGCTTTGTCTGCGGGTGAAGCCTTGGAAACAGGACCTCTGATGGGATACCTCGCTCCTGCCAGCTGGCTGCACAGCTCTGGGTTAGTAATTCAAGTTCTCATTTTCTTTTTCCATAGGAAGGTAAAATAAAAAAAGATCAGATGCTGAACTGGAGCTGTTGGAAATGACATGGCTAATGAGCTTTTGAAGAGGTAGCCAAAGGGTGCTGCACAGGGAAACCCTTTGGGATCCCCCTCACAAATGCAGAAACACTCAAGTTGCCTTTCCTCAGCTCCATCAGTATAAGAGTTGGTAGTTCTGACCTAAATGCTCTTTACAGTCTGTAATCTTTGATTTATAACTAGGACAAGTTGTAGGACACTTTGCTTTCAAAATGTTATCTAACCTGGTAATTTGATTATGCTAACACAAAGGACCCCTCACTGGACTACTGGTATGTACATTAAATATTCATGAATTAATTTTGCTATATGCATAGTTCTTCATTTTTCTTCCTAAGACATGATGACTAGGCACAGCTCCATGACACAGAAATAGCTGAGAACTGACAAGTCTGGAGAAGAACCGAGATAGAAATAAACTGGAAATAATAGTAAAGAATTTGGAACATGACTGTATATAAGGCTTGGACTAATACTGTTTTGAAAACAAGTGGTTTGGAAGGAGTCAGTTTTTTCTCTTTGGAACTGTGAGTGAAATTTGTAGTACAGAGTTTGATCTGCTTTTATATTGATGAAGACAGAGGCAGTGTGATTAAACATCTTGCTTACAAATGAGTAGTAGTAAAAATCAGAGGAAGAATACCACCCTTACACTTTACTTTCTTAGGAGTTGACTGATTTAGAAAAAAGACCTAAGGAGTGTACATAATTTATTGAGTAAACACCTTGATAATTGGGGTACGACTCTTATGCCAGCACAATTTAGTTGTTTGTGTTCTAGTGAGTATTATTTCTGGGCTTTGTGTGGGTGTAGATGGTGTGAAAATAATAGCTAAATAGAAAATACTGAACTCAAAACCACACTGAGCTTTGATACTGGTTCCTCTGTTTTTTGGAATAATTCAAAGTAGGCATGAGTTGAATGGCAAATTCAGCAACTTCCCACATTATTAAGGAGCATAAATCAGCATTAATTTGTTATTTTGTTAAAGGTTCACAATCTCTTTGTTATTTTTTAAAGGTTCACAATCTATTTGACACATAGTATAATTTTACTGATTATGTTATATAGTTATTTTTGTGTTATATTATTTATATGGTATTATATATCATCCTATATTAAATTATGGTATTATATATGATAATATATTAAATTATTATATATTTGTATTATGTAAGATTTAGTATAATTATACTTGTTTCCATGCCAGAAGTCCAATATAATTCTTGCCCTTCATGTTTTTAGGTCCCTAATCTTGCTTATACAGGTGTGGCAACTATCTCAATAGGACAGTTCTGCACAAAGAATGCTGAAAAAGATGGGGCTTGGATTTTTTCCAAGAATGGAGTGAACAAAGCTGTCTTAATATTAAATGATTATTTATAATTATTTTGAAATTATATTATAAATAATGATTAATATTTAAATGTTAAAACAAATCCTAAGGTAATGTAAAGTAAAACATGCTTGTGATGCTTAGTGAAAGATTTTATGTGCTTGTTGATGCTCTGTATAAAGTTTCCTGGAAGAGGGCAGGTGCTGCTCCTACCTCTTCATGCACTCTGTTGGACAGAAATCAAAATAAGCCAATAGATTGCTTTTCTTCCAGGGAATCAGCTGTCTAGATTTACCACGTGATGATGTGAAATGAAAGAAAAATTATTTCCAAAGACAACCTTAGATAATGTTGGAGGAAATAAAAACTTGCATATATTAATTCTCTATTCTCACAGTTTTAAAAAATGAGGAATATGTTATCCTCAAGATAACTCAAAAAATGAAATACTGCTGCCTAAGCTCATAAACATCGTCACATGAAGTGTCACCCAATCTCATAAATTCCTCACAGCCATAGTTCAAGTTGTGTTTTAATTTAAATCCTATCTAAACCAGTAGGAAACATTTGGGAAACAATTGCTTCGTAATTGCATGGACTGGTGTGTAATTCTACTCAGTGTTACAATACCTCTCTTGATACCTTGTTTTGATTCATAAACAATTGTGTTTCAATTAATTACATGGTCTTCTCTATATAAGTAACTTAAAAATTGAGAATTTGTCACTTTTTGCTGAAAGAATAGCCAAAAAGCTGGTGGTGTTACCCACAAGAGCAAGTTGACAGTGCTGTCACCATGCTCTGAAGAAGGTTTTGCTGAAATACATTCACACAAATGCATGCTTTTCTCATGCTCAAATATATCACATCTGCTATATATTAATTCTTGATATTTTTTCATAGACTAATGTGGTATGTTTAATTTTTCAGTGGATGAAAACTCCTGGTACCAAATCTCATTAATGAAGGAAATCAAACCCTGATGGAAGTCCTTGGGGCAAATGAAGAAGGTAAAATTTCATGCATCTTTGCAGTTCAAAGGCCTAATTAATGATACAAATTTCTAAGTCCATAAATACAAAGAACTAGAACTTCCAATGTCTTTTTACAGCAACCACAGAGCATGATCAGGATTTGCTGGTGTTATTTGACTAGATTTATCCCAGCTCGCCTGTGCTGAGAGATCCCTGAGCACATCTCTGATGGAGGTTTCTGTGACCTTGTACAGGATGGCACACACAGAGCTGCTGGAAGAGTTTGTATTCCACAAGAATCTCTGATGGAGGTCTCTGTGACCTTGTACAGGATGGCACACACAGCTACTGGAAGAGTTTATATTCTACAAGCATAGAACTCCGTGGGGCAAACTGAACCTCTCATCAAATACCAGCAACTTCCCACCACCTCTGTCCAAATTGCTATGACTGCATGGGTTAAAGCTGCTCTCCGTAGGGTTTGGGTAAGTGTGTTGTACACAAACATATCCTAAAGTGTAAAGATGGTGACAGCCATTAATTTCCCATTGCCTAATATACTCTTTGGGGATCACAAAATCATAAAAACACATTAAAATATTCCAAACCCTTTAAAATATTAATATTGACTTTCTACAAAAGCATTCTGTCTCTCAGTCTTGGTTATTAACCATTTTCATTACTTCCTGCATTGTTTCGTATAAGTTATGTCCCAAACTATCTGTCACTTGTCAGGAAACTCCTCTTAATTAAAATAGGAAAGCAGTGAAATTTTCACAGCAAATAGCTATCTCACTACTCATGCAGGACTGCTTTAGATTACATTAGATTACAAGTTGCAAATAATTGATAAACTGTACCAGCATTACTAAACCAGTTCACCAACACTAATCAAAGCTCTCATACAATAAGCATGTACTGTTGATAGGTGCAATTCCTGGAATAGATTCAGAACAAAATCATTAATGTGTCAGGTATTTACAAATAGCTCCATTCAACAGCAGAGAAGAGTGTTTGATTCCAGGTTCCAGAGCAAGAAACAAAAAAGTGCTGGTTTCAGTTAAAATATATCAACTTCATTACATTCCACTACCTCAGTACATTTATAATTATTTTAGGGATTATAGAGAGCATTCCCAGAATAATTCAAATTTCCATACAAATTTGCATTCAAGGATTTTGAGCATGACAGGCCTCAGCAACAGTTACGACACTGTACTCAGTTTTACATGTTGTTTGCTAATCTTTCTAATTGTGATTGCTATTGCAGGGGTCAGTCAGACCCAGACAAAATGAGTGCTGCCCAAGAGCAGCCTAAAAGAAGTCCCCTGTCCAGAAGGTCATGCTACCAGCAAATCTGATCTAAAAAAAGACAAGAGAGGCAGGAGCTCAGACACCATCCTGTAAGGGAAAGCAATTTGCTTAAAGCTCAGAGCACACTGTCAATCTTCTCCCTCTGCCTTGAGCTATAGGATTACATTTCCTGTGGTGACAGAATGAACTCTGACAGCCTAAATCTGAATAACCCTGGCCCCAAGAATCACTTACGTAATTGAAAACAATTGAGAGTACAGCATCATGGTTTTTTATATATTTTTTTTTCATGAGCTGTTTTGTGGTTAAGCAAAATGTTTGCCCTGCTCCAGCAGTAAAGAGCACACATGAGTTGCTGCCATGACATCTTGTCTAGGCAGCTGAGATGCTTTGGGAAAACACCTGTGATGCAAGTACATGTTGTGCTGGTGAGCTTTGCCAAAGTAAACCTTTAATCCATGTGAACACTGCTCAGTCCTTCCTTCTTCCCCATCTTTTATTACCACATCCCTTTTCTGCAAATTATAGAATAAAAAGTAGAAAGATGCACTTAACCTCAATGCAGCCCTATAGGCAGGACTTGCTCAAAAAAAAAAAAAAAAAGGAATAAACATCCTGTTATTCTTTTGCTGGTTAGCAAAAATGGAAACAGCTTGAGCACAGGCTGGTGGCAACGAGCCAGGACTGTGATATTCTGCAACTGGAAACACTCACTTCTGATGTTCTGAACTTTAATAACTCTCATTACTGCTGTGTGGTGGCAGATTCTTGGGCAACTGCTGGGCTTTACAGAGAACATTCCTCCTCTTGTCTGAGGCTGTCATGAGAAAAAAGTGCTTTTAAGTAAAGGCTTCAAAAGCAGACAAAGGACTGTCCTTTCCCTACCATGAAAGACTCTAAGGATATAGTCTAAACTAAACTAAGGATAGACTCTAAACTAAAAATAATAAAAATAGAGCATGCTCTGTTTTCAGAGACTACAGTACCACTCTGTACAACACTGATATGAGGAGGTGATGATGCCCAATTCTGCCAATCCTTTGGAACTAATCTGCCACAAAACAGCATCTTAAACTCTTCTGCATGCCAACCAAATACTTACATCCAAAGCTAACTGCTACAGGCCCCAAAAAATGGAAGTCAGGAATTGGCTTGGGTATTTATATTACACTTAAGGTAATGACAAAACTAGAAATATACAGAAGGTCTTGAGGTCAGAATCCAGTCATACTAAGCTGGCAGGAAAATAATAAGTTTAAATTTACATATTAGTAAAGGAGCAGTTTGCACATGCAGGGAGCCTACTGTGTGTAGCAAGAAGGGAGATGTAATTTGTGGTGATTTTTAACAGATTGAAGTGAAGAAGAAAAATACAAAATATCAGTGGGGAGGCAAATAGTATCTACATAAAAGTATCAGTATCAGAGATTTTAAGAAGAACTGTGAATGTGAGAGTAAGCATGAAGAAGTGGAGAGTAATAGAGACTTTCAGTTAGTCTTGAAAAAATCCTGTTTTGCTTTTTCTGCATAGGATATGTTTGCCTTTGTTCCAAGCAAAAGGTGGCTGAGAGCAAATTGATACAGATATGTTCTGGGGACACTTCCTCTCTCATTACCAATATGTTTTGTTATAAGGACAGTTTCATGTAAAGCTCAAGACTGGAAACTTTCATCCTAAAAGAAATTTGGTTCCAATTTCAAGCTTCTCAGTTTCTTTGTAAATAATAAAACATTAATATAAATTTAATCTGCACCTTTTATTTGTGAAGAGCGGTCTACCAAATAAAAAAAAAGGAACTATGTAAGGGCTTCTGAAATAAATAAACTAACAGTTTTGCATTTGTTTGTAAAGGGGATCCATAGGATTCTGTCATGGTGGTACCCATTGCATTTTAGGTTGCATTTTATTGATGATGTAGGTCTAGAGGCTTTTGCTCTGGCCACCTCACTCTGCTCATCTATTGCACCACATTGCTTGCTAATGTAAACACAGCAAATTTTATATAAACCTCGGACTTTTAGAAAAAAACAACATATAGATCTGAAAAACGATCAAATTTTCCCAACCAAGTTTTATACTAAATTGGAGTCTGCAACTTTTTTATCAAACAGTGAGTGTTTCAAAAGATTTGCTGCTATGTGCATTTTGATTACCACAGCACCTAATTCAAAGCTCATTAAATCACTAAAGGAATTCATTCACTGGTCTCCAGTGTCCTTCCTTTCAGCTCATAATTATTTGTATGTTTGGGTAGGAAGGACCTAACCAACACAATTTTTTTTTCTGTTTAGGACAAGATAATCAAGTTTTTATGTTTGTGGACAAATGAATATCCGCTCCTCTCCGAATATCTGCTCTGACGCCTGGTAGGTATCTTTCAAATGATACAAGAATTCACCAAAAAAAGCAAATTTTTCTTCCACATACACCCATAGCTGTAAAGGTCTGATCACCCTCAATGCCTGATACAAGTTGGACAACAGTTATCATGGCACATGTGATGAAGTCCTACGTTTGTCATTCCATTAAAAATACCTTGGGTATGTACATGACCTCATGAAAAAGTAATAGAAGATAATTTACCAAAAGAAAATGAAATGGGTTTGTATTTATTTTAGTTATTATTCACAAACTTTGCATCACTATATCAAAAACCTCAGCCTGTAAAGCCATTTCAGTATGAAGGAGCAAGTGGAGTTTTATTCCTGAGGAATGGTTGCAATTATAAACAAGTACCAATTTTCAAATTTATAAGCAAATTTATATGTGCTATTTTCCTTCTTCTGTTATGCAACTGTATTTGCAAAATGTAATCCCAGATCTTTGCATGAATAGTCTTAAGACACTACCTTTGATTTCAGTATAGTTGGTGCTGAAAATGTTACCACTACTGAAAAATTTCTTTATGCATTACATTAAAAATAACTCAACAAAAACGCCATTTCAAAATAACACAAGACTTTTAGCCAGCATGCCTTTCTATCTGCCTTGGAAGATCTTGTGGGTTCGTGTTATAGCCACAGTCACTGGCATGCTTCAAAGGCTACTGACATTAATTTGGCAGCAACATCCAACCATCCTACCAGAGCTGACTACAAATCCTTGTATTTCTGCTGTATTGTTTAAAGAAATACAACTGAAGGGTGAAAAAGAGGGATTTTAAATTGGAGCCACATATCCACAGCTATTGCCAAATAACTTTCAGGCAGCCCCTCCCCTGGGGGCACAGAACGTTTATCATCCCCCTTGCAAAAAAAGCCTGAGCATGCAAAATGCCAACAAAAACCTAAACAAAGGAAGAATGAAAAATCAGCGCTAAATGCAGCACGTTTAAGTTGTGGAAATGTATATAATTTGTTTTGATTATGATGATGATGAAATGTGTGTTTAAGAGGCTGCTCTTGCAAATAATAACAACAATGAACGAATGAAGCACCAAGCATAAGTGCCAAAGAAAGAAAACTGTTAATATTCAACAGAGGCAAAAGGTTCAGGAGGAAAGAACTCTGCTCAAAAGAAGATGAGATGTGACGGCTTCAATTGCATCTGGGCAAACAAAGTCCTTCTGCCTAACTTTTCAGGTACACCCTTCTGTGAAAAGTTGAAACACGTCACAAAGACAGATACAGGTTTAGCTTCACAGAGGAGAGCACTCCCTCTGACACTGAGATGCCCCCATGCTGCTAGAAATGTTTTCTTTGCTCCTCCTTCATGCTGTGGATGTAAAAATTAGCATTCAGCTCAGTGTTGTCGTAAGTGGGGAGCACTCCCTTATGGTGAGGGATAGTCAGGGGAAAATGGCTGCAAGAATATCTATGACTCCATGGGGCTTAAGTACAGTAACTGCATGAAGAATATATGGGGTCCAAGTGAAACACTAGTTAAAATGGTATTAAAAATAGACGCGGGCATGTGTTAAAACACTTAGCTGAATTTGCAATTATGCACAGCATTTGGAGGAAGTTTAGCAAAATTCCAAAAGCAACACTGATGTCTTTAATTAAAAAAAAAAAAAAAAAAAAAAAAAAAAAAAAAAAAAAAAAAAAAAAAAAAAAAAAAAAAAAAAAAAAAAAAAAAAAAAAAAAAAAAAAAAAAAAAAAAACACCCACCAAAAGCTAGTAGTTAAATAAGTTCTAGAAACAGTCTGGAGAGGTTAATAAAAGTATCTCATCTTGAAGTCCTCAAGATATTTCCAGATATAGAGTTTTTCCTATAAATGGTTAAAGTTGCCTATAACAACATACCACTGTCTACCAAAACTCAGTTTTTTTTAGTAATTGTAGTTATATGCACACACAGATTTAACACCAGACTCTGGAGGTGAGATCACAAGTGCATGGTGCAGTAGTTTATACCCACCACTCAAGCACTGTGTGGCTGACACACCTGAAGGACAAGCTTCAGAAGTGGTGCCATGAGAATTTTAACAAATGCACCAAAAAAATGAAAAGCCAGTGCATATCCAAAGCTGAGTATCTGAGTCATTTTCACCCCACTCTGAGATCAGATAAAGGTATTTCACAGATACTGGCTTGCACAAATGAACAATATCTAAAACAGAGACTGAGCTGCTTGTGTCAAATTTTCATGATCGTGTTCTTCATTGTTGTATAGACAGGAAAGCGTGTGAACAAAAAAAGCCTCAGGAAGATGTAGTATATACAGTGAAAAATGCCAAAGTTCAGATTAAAAATATTATAGTAGGCAATCCTCTTGCATACCCCACCTGAGGAAGCATTTGTGGCTACAAATCCAGGTTTCTTTGAACAGCATAACTGTGGAGGGAGCTAACGGTTCCACTTTGGGACTGCATTTTCAGAGAAACACAAGGTTTCTGACAAAGCTCAGACTCGTGCTCTGACCTCACTTCACACTGAGAACTTTTTGATATAAAGCATGGGGAGAGCTGCCCTCTCTGGTCCTCTGTTTAAAGGATTTATAAACAAGGGATGCAGCAGCTCCATCTAGATCATGGCTGCTACTGCTGTGCTTCTATGCCTGCCCAGTCCCAGTCTGCCAACTTCATGTTCATTTAAAAAGACCTGGCAGCCATCAAGATTTGAATCATACCAGTCCAGAACAAATAAAAACTTGGAAGGTTTCAGAAAAAAAAACCCAGACAACAAAAACAACCAACCAAAAAGAACCAAACCTAAACCAACCAAAAAACTCCACCCTGAAATTTCATACTCTTTCAAATGGATTTTTCTTTCCCCCAGACTGGAGCTATTTTTAAATCCTATTTCCTTAGTGTTCTTTCCAAAGCAGAGCAAACGCTCTCCTTCATACCTACAAGTTAAAGTCACTTTCTCTTGACTTGCACAGGCCACTAAACCATTCCTATGTTCCTTGTGCTTCAAAAATTTTAGCTTGCAGAAAAAACTATTATATCTGGGTTACATCAAGTAATGTTCACTCTGGTTCACAGACAGCAATTTCCTTGCCAAGTTTTATATTATTAATCCCTTGGTAAGCAGAAGGGAAAAATATCTGGTTCTAAACTCCTCATAAAGGGAAGAGGGAAATCCACTCTTATGTGACCAGGGAGGAGGGAATAAAAATTTAATCTGTGGAATGTTAACCACATTTATGAACACTGCTATTACAAGAATAAGAAAGGTTGAAGTAAATTTCAGCTCCTAATAAATACAATTAAAATATTTACAACAAGATGGATGTTTTCAACTTAACTGCTAGGTCATTTTTAATAAGAAAATACTAAGGTAACTCCAGATCCACTCACATCTCTTAAAACATTAATTTTTTTCCAGATATGATAGGCATTACCTTTCCCCTACATATTGTAAAATTTATTAACTAAAATTCTCTGGCTGAATCAGCCAGCATAAACCTGACGTAAATGTATGTGGAAACAATTTGCCTTGGGTAAAGACATTCCAATACAGGTGTGGAAAAATGTGGAAAAGTGCTTAACGTGCACCCTTGCACTTTATGACAGGAGGTAACTCTTGCCATGTCAGCCCCCTCTGCATACAGCATCCTCACAGGCAGTCACAAAGGACACTTTCTGCCTGGATTACTTAAAATGAGATTAACTGTAGAGTTTATATATAATATTTTACATTCTTTATATGTTGCTTAAATCCTTCTGAAAATGTTCGTAAGAGTAACCCACAGGACAAACACGTTCTCAGTAGTGACTTTATGGGCATTTTTTATGTACAAATTAGGAAACAGCTAACAATTCAATAAACTGATGTTTCCTTGTTGCTTACTGCCATCAGAATCCATGCTGGTGGGGGTAATTGCTGCAGTGGCAAACTGCACCCACCGTCCCAGTGTGCTGGTGAGTGCAAGTGCAGCAAAGCACAGCCCAAAGCAAAACCTATTCCACTTGGCATCAACCAGCAGGGCAGGCTGGATGCTTGGGATGCACACAAGCCAGAGACAAATGGCCTGCTCAGCTCCCTGGCTAGTTAGCTCCAGTGGGCTCTGAAAATTCAGATTTACATTCCGTGGTGGGAATTCATGTCACAGCAGTTTTGGGAGGACTGCTGCTGGTGAGATTGGAACCATGCCAGTGAGGGTTGTGGAGAACTGTCTCTGCTGGGAGAAACCTCACGGTCTCACAGGGAAACAACTTCTCTCCTTGAGCCAAGCAGAAGAAAACCTTGGGTGATGAACTGACCAAAATCTCACACCCTGTCTGCTTGTGCTGTTTGTGGGAAGGAGGGAGAGGTGGGGAAAAATGTTTTGAAAGGCTTATTTTACTTCTCATTATCCCACTATGATTTTGTTAGCAAAATTCACTTTGTACCTCTAGGATGAGCCTGTTCTGCCCCTGGAGTGTTTTCTTTGGGTCCTTAACTCATGAACTCTATGTTGAATTTTCTCTCCTCTGCCCTGCTGTGGAAGGAGTGGGTGAGCGAGCGGCTTCCGTGGTGTCTGGTGTTTGGTGGTGTCAAACCACAACAGCTTCTAATCTGTAATACTAATTTCAATTAAATCTGTGCTGCAAAGACTCAGATGGCATTTCCAGTCCTTGAGCGCTTTGCTTCATCTTCTCCTCTAAAAGGAAACAGAGGCTTCTCCCAAGCTTCGTTAATGTGACAGCCATAAAGAGGGGCTGTTCAACCACCTTTTGAACAAACAATTGAAGTTTACTGCTCAAAACAAATCTAAATCTGTACATAAGGAAAATAAAATAATCAAATAATCTCTTTAGTCATCCTTGCCTATGAAGTCTGATCTTCAACCCTTCTTTAAGCCCTTGTAACAAAGCAGAAACCCAAATCTCCCCCCACAAAAAGACATCAATAAGTCTCCATCAGTCTAATTGGGATTTGCTTATCTACTACAGCAGGAGAATCAAAGCCCCAGTGTGCAAAAGGAAACTATTTCCAGCTCCCATCCATGGGACTCAGGCAAATTGAGAAGAGTAACACAAGTAGCTGGAGTACTGAAAAAGTGATCTGCTTCTAAACCTAAGGAAAATACACACACTCAAAGGTTCCATGTAATTGAAAAACCAGGTTATATGTTCCCCACACTAAGATCACCAGCTCTGTGTCAGTATTTTCTCTTGTTTCTTTTGATTTTTTGTTTTCCAGATGAGGAGTGGGGTGATGGGAACTAAAAAAAAATAAAATGAAAAAAAAATAAATCATTCTCATTCTGTAGTCTCCTCTAACTAAGTTAACATTAACTTCATTTTTTTAAGTCCCCACTGCTCCTGATTTACTGTTTTTCTTTCTACCTGATTTATTTTCCAGATGGAGAGCTGTAGAAGGCGGACAATTTTTCAGCACGGTGTCTTATTTCCTGCTGAGTTATTTTGTCTGTCCAAGGAGCTCTTAGAGAAGAAAACAGAAAAATGGATTTATGTTGCTGTACCTGATAAAGACACATACAGCCCCACATGAACATTTTTTTCAAAAGCTTTCACTGAAGATTTCACAGGTAACTACATTACTAACAGGCATTGCCTGCAGCAAAGCATAACAAAGTACCTCTGCTTTCTCCTTCTGTCCTCCACTCCCTCACCCCCATTTTGCAACCTGCTGGCAGGGCACCTTACACACACTTCACACCTTTATTTATTTATGATGACTCTGACAACACCATCTGTAATACCGGTTTTAAAGCAGCAGCAATGATGTAAAATAAGCCCAGTGAAAGGTATAGAAAATAGTTTCATAAAGTGTAGGTCATATCCATTCATTTTTTAGAGCGAAATTGCTCTAAAACTTAGTAACCTTCCAAAATTAAAAAACAAAACCACATAGAGCAAAACCCAGTAATGTCTAAACTCCTTAAGCACCTGGTCAGGCTATTTTTCACCATACCCTACCTTGTATTTATTGTACCTCTGCAGATATCTCAAATATTGCTCTTATCTTGATCCAACTTCTTTTTTTGCCTTACAAATGGCTTCACACAGAGTATTTATATTCACAAAAACACACCCTCTCACATGGAAATACTTTAGCCCAGAGAAGTTGTGGGGACAAGCAGGAGAAGCAGGAGGTGAAGGAGTAGGAGAATAAAGACAACGTTGGAAGATGCAGAACCTTATTCATCCAAGAGCTGAGACCTTGTCAGGGGATGCACTGATGGGGAAAGGAACATGGAGAGAGTAGCTGGTACTCAGGGAGAAGTGTGCTGTGTCTGAATGTCCACTTGGACTCCAGCACAGGATTGCAACACGGTTCATGCAGTGTCTGTAAGGCCTTCTTGTGGACTAGATCCCAAATGAATTGCTGTCTAATCTGCAAGAGTACTGAAGCCTTGAAGTGCTGTTTTGAAGCCTGGAAATATTGTGTGGAAGTCTTGTATATTCCACTCAATATAAGGAGTAATAACTTATTCTTAAGCAGTGTTAATACAATATCATGCACACACATATATGTGTATAAACAGGTACATGGAATACATGCATATGGAATTCGGGGGATTGCTTTAGCTTTCCCAATTATTTGTTCATCTCAGCTTTCAAAGCAAGTAAAAGGTGAAAATAAAAGCAATCTCCTTACCTTTTAAAGAAAGTACTTTGGAATCACAGACATAAAGACACCTTTTATTTTTAAAGCTATATCCTGTTTGAAATGAGCATGAAAACCACGTGCAAAATACTAATCTTCTCTTTCCAGGAGGAAGAGATGACACTCCTGGGATTTCAGCCTGTGATAAGGCTATTATTAACCTGAGGCTTGAATTGCAAAGCCACTAGTATGCTTTAATCTGCTGTGAAGCTGTACCATCCTGATGGATGGCTAGTAGCTCGCAATGAGGCTTAATATGATACAACTTTTTCTAACGTCAGGTGGCATCCCCCCTACATTATTGTGTGGAATACAGCAGAAGTGGTTCTTGCTTTTGGTGTCCTGTCTTGAGAGAAAGGAGGGGCAGATTTGAGGAGGTGGGCTGTTGAGGAAGAGTGGTTCTCCCCTCCCTTGGAAAGAGCTGGAGAGGGGACAGGGCTGACCTCGCTTGTGTGACAGCTCTGAGGCTGTCACTGTTTTCTTACAGATGCTCCTGCCTCTTGTGGCACTGGTCTGTCCACTGAGGGACAGCAGGTTGAGACCAGGATTAAAGCCTCTTTCCTTTGCTTCTGACTGATTGCTAAACTGGATCACTGGCACTCTCAGTGCAGTTTAACCACTTTTTGGTGCTTGGGTCTCAGCTTTATCTTGAGCTGCAAGTTTTCGCAGTGCAATTTGTGTGCAATTAACTTGTTTGAGAACAAGAATTTGCAAGTGAAACTAATTTTAATAGAAAGCACATTTGCAATGGGCATTGAGATTTCTGTGCATCCAGGCTCTGAGGCTATTCCATTGGCATGAGTGATAAATTCTTTCTAAAGGCTAACACAAATTCAAGGCTCTGTGGGCCACACATAAAAATATGATCTCACATTTTCTGAAGTCGAGTCTTTGTTCATTTTAGTTTGGTGGTAGTATCTTACCACCAAGTTTGTAGAATAACCAAAAACCTCCTTATTTCTGGAAACTATTTTCAAGTTCAGAGGCAGGTTAAAAAGGAAGGAATTCCATTTTCTGTGATATCCACAGATATCTGGAATTCTGTGTTTATATCAATATCTCTGGTCTCTGTAAATGCAATTTTTATCTTTTCTATCAAGAAACTGGTAAGTCCACAACAGTACCTTGGTAAGACCCCAGGGAGAACTTAACAATGGAAGAGAATCTGTGGAAAAGAGAAATTTGCTAATAGTGCAGCTATTGTGTTTAGCTGGTGCTGCATCAAGAGGAAAGACATCTCTTTCTGAGTGCAGCCAGTGGGACAAGCTGTGTGCTAGTGGGGCCACAAGGAGACTGCCTTCCTCCTGTGCTAGAGGAATATATTATCATTGAAACAAAGGAAAATAAAGGTTCCTTTTGTTTGAAACTACATTCACTGCCCCAGAGGAGGTGGTTTTATTGCTTGCCAAGAGGGATAAACTTTCACCCAAATGGGGAAATTGCATGGACCTCTCTAGCAAGGGAGAAGTTGCTGGAGGGTGGGTGGCTGCAGCAGAGGAAGAGCTCTGTTCCTGATGCCACACAGCAGTACAGTGGGGCTTATCACTTGAAATAATCTGTAGTACAAGCTTTTGTCTTGAGATTTCAAAAAGTGTCCACAGTAATGTAACCACCTTGAACTAATCTGAGTTATGTTATCTTGAGCTGTGACTGAATCTGACCCCAGTGTGTTTTGCTTCCAAGTAGGAAAGGCTAGGAATGACTAAGTACCCATGAGTTCTTGTGAATTATATTTAAAATCAAATATTCTGCTTCTACACAGCAACTTACATGCCTTGTTTTGCAGACATATGGCTCATCCTTCATGTGTCATATCATGAAAAATATGGCTTGTAATTCTGCTGTGAAGAAAGATGATTGTGACTATAAATACCAATTATATAATTTGTGGTTTTTAATAAAGTGATTGTGAGCTATCTGAATATTTTCCATTTAGGGATGACTACAGGATGATGTTTTGCATTATATATATGTATGTATATGTATAACTGTGTATGTGTACATGTACATATATAAGTCCATAGCATTCTCAGACATCAAGATGCAAGTGGCTCTTTCTGAATCCCAAGAGCAGAATGTGTGTCTTGAAAAGCAGATTTGAGAAGGAGATTATTGGTACCTAGGCTTTGTAAGGCTGGAAAACTGCACCAGCAATACAATAGGTTGGAAAAGAAATATCCATAAGGAACAAATTCTTTAAACCATGGCAGCACCTCTGTAGCTTCCTTAGTGACATGGATTTTCCACATGCCTCCCTGAAGCTCAGATGAGGATGGCTAATGGCTAATGAAACTAATCCTGGCTTCCTGGAAAAGCCTGTTCCAGGACCACTCGATGCTGCTGATATTGGTGCCGGGAGGATCATGAAATAGGAAATAGCTGTTTGAGAGATTAATGAAGTCTCACATGCTGCAGAAGGGCTGCTTTGGAGGCTGTCACAACCCACTGGTATGGGGCGTGATGTTCGTTCTGGGTCCTCCTCATGCTGAACAGATATTATGTGTCAAAGAACTCTTATGCTTCTGTTATGTAGCTGCCTTAGATTCAGCAACAGACCACTATTTAGACACATAAGGCACTGGTTAACAAGCCCTTAAATTTTAACACTTAAAAGCAGTGGCTAATATGCCCTTAGTTTTTACAGTACTCTTTAATAAGCTCTCAAATCCCACAATTCGAAGTTGCTGGCTGAGAAGCCACACTACAGCACTTCTCAAAGGTGCTGGCACAAGCCACAACACTGCTTTTCAAAGGTACTGGAACACACCACAAGACACTTCCACAATCTCCTCACTCTAGCAACAAACTCCAGTAAGGAGTCTGGGGTAGAATATCATAGCTGTTCTTTCCACAGGCAAAGCAAGGAAGGACAGAAATAAAGACAGAAGAGAGAGAACAAATAATATCACCAGTCTTTAGATACTTCATTGGTGCCTGCCACATGCATGGTCCAGAGCTGAGGTAAGAGTGAAAGAGAAAGGGAGGAAAAAGAGCACAAGGGGGCCTGATCAGTTACCTTGGTGCATGCCTCTGATGCAAACTAGATTTTTCCTGCTGTTTTGTTTGCCCGTGTGCAGACAGCCCCTTTGAGCCTTTCTCTGGGAAGCGAGTAGAGGGACAGGTGGACTGAGCAGGAGTCCCAGGGTGGAGCAGGATGTTGGTTGAGAACAGGTCTGCCCCCCTCCCTGGGACCCTCTTTTCCAATTACACCTCTCCTCTCCTAACAGTCAGAACGTTTGAGACAAAGCATGTTTGTGTCTGGTCCCTCACGGAGCTGAAAGGATGGTGAGCAAAAAAGGGTTAATAGGGCTCAGAGCTCCTGAGCCTGTCAAAAGACAGCAGAAATCTCACAGGAAAGCTATCTGCTGTATCTCATCATCCCGAGCCACTCAAGAAACCCCAGAGGAGCTTCAGAGATTTGGCAAAAAGGGTTGATAAAATGCAGCAAGGCACATTAGGGTTGGAATGCAGTGCTTGGCTCTGGAGATGGGGAAAGGAATCACAGTAAATGTATTTCTTCAGACTCACATCACCTCTCTCTCTTTGTCTAATGATTCGAGCAGTCACTGCCCTGGAAGTGGAACATGATTTCAGCATCATGTAAGTTGCCTTTCTCCTTTTGTTGTGGGTGAAACATCAAGTTGTAAGTGGTTCTGTTGCTCTATTAACAACAAGTGTTACAGCCCATGAAAATGAGCTCCAATGTGAGCTACTGATTCCAGTGCTATGAGAGTCACAGGACCAAGGGTCACAACTCGGCCAATTAAATGCAATATGTCCCTCTGAATGAACTACTGAAAAACATGTTAAGACCAAGCCCTAAGGCTGAAGTAATTTTATGTCCTTTTCAACCATATTT